TGTCAATCAACTCAGCGTAATTTTCTACACCAGAAACATTTAATGATTTTTTCACTTATTTTGAAAAGTATCACCCCTTCCTTAATACATTTAACCGAGGCCCTATTGTTTCACCAGGACGCGCCGCTAAAACCCCTCTATAGTAGTGAAGTAAGGAATGTTCGAAAAATATAGAAAAATAGTAAATTAGCTTTTAAGATTACCAGCTTTTGATACAATGGGTAAATATACTTCATCTCTAGCATAGTACCAGAGGTCTTGGAAATTCTATAAGGTTTTGGTGTAAATTGCATCTAAAGTTTGGTCATTCCCTAGGTGGGTTATGACCAATTCAATTCACTTCAATTCATTAAATGTTCTGTTCTGCTTTTGATTGTGGGTATCTTTAACTTTGGTATTGGGAAATACCCCTAACCTAGGGGCCATCAGGGAGTTAGTATCAATGTGAAATAACTTTCATACATCATTTTAAACTTAAATTAGCGCTAGCAATTGGTTTTGAAGGGCTTTAAAACACATAATTTAAGGGGCCTCTATATATCAATGCATGTATTTAGAAGACACGTAAAGAAACAAAAATGAAAAGTTGTTCTTTGGTAGACACTTTTTCTACTTTGAAAACTTAAAGAAAACTTTTTGTTATGTAGCTACATGAAAAAATATCTTTATAGCGTTGATACTTCAAAAGGAATAAATCGTAACACAATCAATGGAGAGAACTACAACCTCTAATTAATCTATGAAGGTGTCACAAATGTTCGCAAATAATAGTATAATGTGTAATGATGTTACAAAATTTAAATAAAGTCATTGTCTGATTCCGATGAACTTTCATCCATTTGTTGTCGCATCCCTTCCATGACTGCCTCGTATATTTCATGCTTACGTGTTCGGAGATGATAAGTGTTACTGTCCGCATCATATACACAATCAATGGGGTGAACTACAGCCTCTATACTTTCTTTGAAGGTGATGCCAATTTTCATTTATACGTGTAGCTTTCGTCAGTCTCTTCCATCTCGGCCATTAATACAGTTTTCTCGTCGTAGTTCACATCGATTACCTTACCTACTAAAATGTTTGGAACAGCCAAAGTCGAATCATTTGTAATTAGAGCAACAATTTGATCTCTAATGGGGTAGTTCCAACAGGACAATTTTCGACGAATCCCTAACAGTTAGCTGTATTATCTGCCAAGTGTCTTACACCCTTTTTAATTTTGTTTTCGGTTTCCATGGTATAGTATCTTAGTCTCTGAGTTCTCTGACTGTGTGACATAAGTCTTGCGATAGCTGCTTCTATGTTTTTGTCCTTTTCCTCAGACAGAACCCAGTTAACTAAACTTTTACGAAGGGTTCCTGTAGTTACATGCAATTGATCATCCGAATGTTGTGAGAATGACTTGGAGAGATAAACTGTAAATGATTCGGAACTTTCAAATGGCTCTCCACTTTTACGCATGAAAAGAAAGTCGTGTTTCTTATCTTTAAGGAGTATCCTCCTTTCTTATCTATAAATGTTCGCAAATAGCGCTCTAAATAATCGACGCTCGAAACCGAGATCCGATTGCACCCATAAGTCGAAGAGGTTTTAAAAATGTTTATTTCCAATTCCACTGTGCCATCTTCCTTGAATATAAGATAGTTGTTATTTCTATCTCGCTCTTCATCCTTCTCTTGCACTATTTTAAGTCTTATCATGTCAGTGTTTCTTGCCGGATTAACAGTGGCAAACATTAAAAGAATTAAGAAATCATGATACAATCTTGCCTTATCTATTCTCGTGCCACAAAATGTTTCCAATTCATATTTCATTTTCTTTAATAGTTCCATTGCTTGTCCCCAGTAATAGTTTTTTTTTCTGTCGGTATTTGTATTTTTTCTCCTTCTCTCCTTTTCGTACTCTCTCTGTTAAAAGAAAAGTGAATGCAATCAGCAAAAGAAAACAACACCATCAAGAAGGAAAATGCATACAAAGTGCGTAAAGCGTAGAAGTAACCGACAGCACAACCAGCGCTGTAATCTTTTCAAAGCATGTTTTATATCAAATTCGCTATTGGACGACGATAATTTGGCAATCTTGGTCACTTTGGCCGTTCTTAGTTCACTTGAAACGTAGATATAAACTCTGAAGTAGATGACTTCAAATTAAATGCTTACCTGCAGCTGAGACTGTATTCTTTTCAGCTGCACAATCTCTTTTATTTCCATAAGGTTTCCGCTATTTCTCTTCACATATTTGGCAATATATAAAATCGATTGTACATAGCCTGCCACCGTGCCGTAGCTTAAGGGTTTGGCCAATCGCGTTTGCACGAAAGCATCCACTTTTTTCGTGTTGAGGCAATCTTCAATGTTTGGACTCCGTGTTTCTGTCTCTGCAACAAAAATAAAGAATTCTTTTGCTTTACCAATGATCTTTTTCACTGTTGCCTCTGCAATTTTTCCAGTGGGCCGTTCTGGATTGATTACCTTGCTGTAGAATTCAGCAATTTTCGGAAACTCATTATTAACAGCTTCATGTGTACTATTGTGTGGATCTCGGTAATTAACGCTGTAGTCTTCCATTCTAACATCTTCCACATCAGTCATGGAGTTTGTGGCCTCCCCGCACATTTCATTCGTTGAAATTTTATCGTTTGCTTCAATCGTTGTGGTGCTTTGGAGCTGTTTGAAGATTTGCTGTTTGTGTTTGCTGTTAAGTTTTTGAAAATCTCCCATATCTATCAGCCAGTGTCCCCTTTCTGTTTTCCAAAACGTGACTGCAGCTTTGCACATATCGTCCCTTGGGCTAATCTAGCCCTTATACCCATTCGGTGGAGCATGGTTTTGAAGGCTGATCCAGTCATGTGCTGGAAATCTGTTTTAACGTCCGCCAGTGCCACGTATTGATTTCCATCAATTTCAAACAGATCTCTGTCCAGAATTTTGGTAGGTTCTAAATAAAAATATTCTGGTTACATGTATAAAAAGGAAACTGGTTGCAAGAAAACTGATTACAAGAAAACTGATTACAAAATGCAATCGTGTTGAAAAAATCTTGTTGCAAAAGTATATGTTTCGACCATCAATCTGTGAGAAAACATCCTTTCTATTGTAAATAATCAACGATAAGGAAACAACTTGCCATGAAAATTTGAATCCATGTCGTTCTTCGACGAGTGACAATTGTTTGATCCTGCAGGAAAAATATGCTGATTCAATAAAAGGAAATTATGATGTTTTGCTACAAATACTGTTCTCTACACTATCACCCCTTCTCTGTTTTAAATTCAGCGTTTAAAAAATAATTTTTAGCGCGCAAATTTTTCTTTGTCCTGAGAACAATACGGCTAAGGAGGTGGGTACCTATCTGGCAAGAGGGGGTTCATTTTGAGGGAAGGGTTATTCGGAGAAGGTATCTTTTTCACAGGTGAGGATCTCAAGCCATTAAGAATTCACGGTAAGAGCTACTTCCTCAAAGTATTGTTTCGTGTTTTGATGTTTTCATTTGTTCTTATTCGAATCACGTCATAACTGTCAACCATCGAACGAACTGTTAGTCGCACGTGGAGTTGACTTCGAGCAGCTTCTCTTCGACCCGTCGATTCGTCGATATTGCTTGGTATCCAAATATATTGAAAATGGAAGATATTGCAGAAACGGTCCTAGTTTTTCAAAGGATTTTGGCCAATTTGGTCGAAATCCAGCGGATTCCGGTGGCCGGGGAGCTGATGTCTGAAATTCTCGGGATATCTCTGGAGACCGAAAATAAATTGCAAGAGGTGTGTCGTCGTGTTGGTAAGTAATTCCTCATCTTTCATATGTTTTAATGTAGCTGTTCATATGTAAATGCAGATTATCAATTGCTTATGTCACAAAAGAACTATAACCAAAAGTATACATGGAGAAAGCAACCCCCTCCCTTTACAGGCCTATTTTCACTTTCATTTTTAATGTCCAATAAACTGTAGCATTCGAAATTTTCGTTTTCTCAAACGATGCAAAAAGCGGCAGTTTGCCCACTAGATAAAGGGGAATCAATTCGTACATTAGAAAGAAATTTCCGCCCAGTAAGTGTTCTCAATACATTTTCAAAGTTATATGAAAAAGTCTTAAAAAATCAATTGGTCAAACATTTAGATTACCCGCTTTCAGTACTGGTCGCATGCATCTGGTTACATTGACAAAACAAGCTGGAAGACAACTGGTTACATGATGTAACCAGATAAAAAAATTATCTATTTAAACGATCTGGTTTGAACGAGAGCTAGCCTTATTGAACTCGTTTCATATTATTGACTACCCTGGGTACCAGACTCACTATATATGAAATAAAATAGAGAGTCTGGTCTAGTGCGCCCCATTCTCGTTCTGGTGTGCTTATATTAACCAATCAGGAGCGAGTGTACAGATTTCTGTACGTTCAAAGGTCACAGCGAAACAATAAACTTAGCTCTGGTGTAAAACATTGAACAGAACACAACATAAATAAATGCTAGCGACTGTAACGATTTAGTTTGAAGATGCTGTTAAAACTGTACTCAAAGAATATTTTCCGCATGTTGTGGGACTTAACACAGAACAACATTGAAAGCCTTGTTTGTAGAGAGAAGAGACACCTTCGCCATATTGCCAACTGACTTTGGAAAGTCTCTGATATTTCAGGCAGTGCCTCTCATTGCAAAGAAATTAGGCCTTGTAGTGAAATGCAGTAAATAAGAAACACCGCAAGGCGCCGAGAACAAACAACAACAAACACAAGTAAATCAGTTATGGCTAATATTTTCCCCGGCATACGGGGCTTCGCTTGTCATATTGGCCATATTTGCTGTGGCGAACTTCCAACGTGATGATTCTAACCGCCGCGGTGTCCAAGCGCGCTGCCTTCACAGTGAGGAAGTAGACTGAAAGTACACTTAATTTATGTGGAAAATTACAAAAGTCTTATTTTAAGTTGTATGCTAAATTTAACAATGATTAACATTTAGTAACTGCATTGTGCTAACTTTAATTTCATGCTTCGCATATGCTTTTTGCTGCCAAGGCGTTTTACACCTGATTTGATTGGAATCTTGAGGCAGAAAAGTCTGTTATCACTGTATTAATAATGTCAACTTTACAGAACTATATAAAATACATTGGCTTTAAGATTTCCCAAAACTCCTCCGACTACTGAGTATCTTTGTTATTTATCCGACAGTCTTGTTTCACAGGCCTAGTCTGTTAAATAGACTTCAGTTCTTTCAAGTAAGTTCGCCCGAACGAGAATGGGGCGCACTAAACCAGACTCTCTATTATTTTATATAGTGAGTCTGGTACCCAGGGTAATTATTGACACTCTTTCACAAAACTCAATTCTGGTTGCATGCATCTGGTTACATCGACAAAACAGACTGGAAGACAACTGGTTACATGATGTAACCAGATAAAAAAATTATCTATTTAAACGATCTGGTTTGAACGAGAGCTAGCCTTATTGAAACTCGTTTTATATTATTGACACTCTTTCATAAAACTCAATTCTGGTTGCATGCATCTGGTTACATCGACAAAATAGACTGGAAGACAACTGGTTACATGATGTAACTAGATAAAAAAATTATCTGTTTAAACGATCTGGTTTGAACGAGAGCTAGCCTTATTGAAACTCGTTTTATATTATTGACACTCTTTCATAAAACTCAATTCTGGTTGCATGCATCTGGTTGCATGCATCTGGTTACATCGACAAAATAGACTGGAAGACAACTGGTTACATGATGTAACCAGATAAAAAAATTATCTATTTAAAAAATCTGGTTTGAACGAGAGCTAGCCTTATTGAAACTCGTTTTATATTATTGACACTCTTTCATAAAACTCAATTCTGGTTGCATGCATCTGGTTACATCGACAAAATAGACTGGAAGACAACTGGTTACATGATGTAACCAGATAAAAAAATTATCTGTTTAAACGATCTGGTTTGAACGAGAGCTAGCCTTATTGAAACTCGTTTTATATTATTGACACACTTTCATAAAACTCAATTCTGGTTGCATGCATCTGGTTGCATGCATCTGGTTGCATGCATCTGGTTACATCGACAAAATAGACTGGAAGACAACTGGTTACATGATGTAACCAGATAAAAAAATTATCTATTTAAAAAATCTGGTTTGAACGAGAGCTAGCCTTATTGAAACTCGTTTTATATTATTGACACTCTTTCATGAAACTCAATTCTGGTTGCATGCATCTGGTTGCATGCATCTGGTTACATCGACAAAATAGACTGGAAGACAACTGGTTACATGATGTAACCAGATAAAAAAATTATCTATTTAAACAATCTGGTTTGAACGAGAGCTAGCCTTATTGAAACTTGTTTTATATTATTGACACTCTTTCATAAAACTCAATTCTGGTTGCATGCATCTGGTTGCATGCATCTGGTTACATCGACAAAATAGACTGGAAGACAGCTGGTTACATGATGTAACCAGATAAAAAAATTATCTATTTAAACAATCTGGTTTGAACGAGAGCTAGCCTTATTGAAACTCGTTTTATATTATTGACACTCTTTCATAAAACTCAATTCTGATTGCATGCATTTGGTTACATCGACAAAAAAGGCTGGAAGACAACTGGTTACATGATGTAACCAGATAAAAAAAATATCTATTTAAACAATCTGGTTTGAACGAGAGCTAGCCTTATTGAAACTCGTTTTATATTATTGACACTCTTTCATAAAACTCAATTCTGGTTGCATGCATCTGGTTACATCGACAAAAAAGGCTGGAAGACAACTGGTTACATGATGTAACCAGATAAAAAAATTATCTGTTTAAACAATCTGGTTTCAACGGGAGCTAGCCCTAGTCAAACTAGTTACATTAAAGCGCAATTCTGGCTAAATGTTTCTAATATGACAGAGGAAACTGGTTACAAGACAACTGGTTTCATGATGAAACCAGATAGAATTTTATGCATAACAAGTTTAAACATTAAAACCAAATGGACTGGACCCACCCCCCCCCCACCCGGGCTGCGAATGCAGCAAACTACAAGCAGACCTTCCCTTTATGGAACGCGGCACCCCCCCCTCGTCCCTTATCACGAGAGACGCTGCCAAAAAGAAGATTCTAAAATTTTGACCTAACTCTGGCAATAGTTTCACCCTAACCCTAACCCTAACCCAACCCAACCCTAACCCTGACCCTGACCCTGACCCTGACCCTGACCCTAACCCTAACCCTAACTTAAACCCATAACTCTCCCCAGCAATTTAGAGCAAAGCAAGCTTTGGTGGAATGGACCAGAGTCATAGTGGATGGAAATTATCCCCACCAGCCTCACCTGATCGAAACAGTTGAAGCAAGGCTGAAGAAAGACAGTGTACACTCCGATTGCTGAGAAGAACCAAGTCTGTCAATCAACAATTTAGTGCTGCGGTGAAAACTATGGCTCATATGGCAAACTGTTGAGAGTTACAGCTCTTGTGCTTAGGTTTATAAGTTGCTCAAGGAGAAGAAAAAGGCAAGATACTCCGTGTGCGTGTAGAAGAGATCAAGAGGCAGAAGAATTGTGGATAAAAGATACACAAGTGATGGTGAAGGAAGAAATAGTTACTCTCAAATAAAGACACAGCTTTGCAGTGATAGAAATCATGGAATCTTTACACTGCAAAGGACGATTCTTCAAAACAACAACACTACCAGTTGAAAGCAAGTTCTAATACTTTACCCCGGGATAGCAGATTTACAAGTTTGCTAATTTCAGAGTGTCACAGCGTACACGCATGGGGAGTAAATTACAGACAATTAAGCAAGTCAGAAGCAAGTTTTGGGTCTTAAAAGGGCCAAGGCTGTGAAGCAACAATTACGTCAATGTATGGTTTGCAATAAGCGAAATGCAAAGCCATGTGCACCACCTCAATCTGGACAAGCTACCAGCAGAGAGAGGTGGTTCGAGGCAACCCGTTAGTACACCGGAGATTGACTTTGCAGGACCTATATATTTGAAGAATGAAGAGAAGGCATATGTTTCTATTGTTCACATGCGGCATAACCCGTGCAGTACACTTAGAGGCTCACAGAAGATATGACAGCCAATGAATTTTAGAGGAATGTTTCGAAGATTCGATCAGCAGACGTGAGCACCTGCTACAGTAATAAGTGACAGATGCAAAAACATTCCTTGGCACTGCAAAGCACTTGCAGAAGATTTTAGAAGATTGATGTTGTAGAGCCAGAATTGCAGGATTTGTTGCCAACCGCAATTGATTGGTCATTTCAATGTAGCTAACACCGTGGCAAGGCGGCTTCTCTTGAAAGACTTAGTTTGCGAATTATACCAATAGACCAGCAATTATTCAAGACTATGGGAAAGAGGCAAACTAACCTTCATGAGATGCTCGGAAAAACATCTTGATATTATGAAGTTGAATAGGAGATGATTAAATAAACTGACCACATTACCTATTGACAAATCATGCAGGAATGTAGAAGGAAGAGCCCTTCATCCAAAATCATATGATTTTTCGGAGTGGTATCGAACTAGCAAATCGATACGGAAATGTTCAAGCATGACATGATGCAGATTTTTGATGACAAACATGTGAACAAGAGAATGAAGGTTCTTGAGAGCTTAAGCCTCGAAGAGCATGTATGGAATATGATGGTCAAAGAGTGATCCTTTCAGGTCTTCTTGTGAAATCATTCATCGGCACGATAAAGGAGGAGAAGTATTGACCAAGAGCTTGGACTTTGGTACTTGATCATAGATACTACTAATTGAAGACTCGGTTTCTGGAAGTTAGCCAAAACTCCAGTTACATAAGAAGGAGAGAGATGATTGTAGTCTAGCAACGTAAGATTAGATGCGGCGTATCTCAAGGCAGAAGAAATTGAATGGAAAGACACACTTTCAAGGAAGTATGCCCCTTAGTAGAGATAAAAACAAAGTGAAGAGAGGGCAATATACATCACTTGGATAAAGAGCAATACGCTTCAGGACCAAAAAGAAGTCAAGCCAAGAAGAGTTATAGCAGCTTTTGCAGCTGTGATTACGAATTATTGACAAGTACCTATGGCACAGCTCATTATAATCAATGAGGTAAAGACAGTTGATTTGGGAGAGTTGTACACTGACTTAAGCTAACGACCCCTGAGCCCATTTTGTTCTTGATAGCCTCGTTTTGCACTCGGATACACGTAGAAATAATTTATTATATATAGTGTGTCATAGTTTTGGTTATTGAATATATGTCCTTCTACTCGCACAGAATGTTAGTCTTCTCTCGTAAGGACTATTCTTGCCAACCGAATCTGTTATGTCTTAGGAAGTATTATTACGTACTCGACAAGGACCTTACATCTCTAAAGCGGCCGTAAGCCCTAACCACGTAAACCCAACCCAACCCAACCTAACCCTAAACCCTATACCTTAACCCTAACCCTAACCCTAGGAAGATAATTTGAAGCGTAGAGTTTTGTGATCAATGGTGTCTTTTGAAAGATTTGGGCTTTATGGTTGGAAGAAGTTCCCATTGATTACAGTACGAGATCGAACTTCTTATCACCTGCTGGTCCACGTGTGGAGGTATCACGGTTGTATTGCACTTGCTGGAGACA